TCGACTCACGACTAATTCCGTCGCAATTTGATTTGCAATCCCGAATCAAAGTCCTTAGTTTAAATTCTTGAACGTATAATTATAAACACGACAACTTTAGGAATTTAATAAACTTTAGGATAATGAATAACACTGAAGACGGCTCTGTGATGCAGTGGCTCAGCAATGAGTTACAGCGTGGAGGACTGCAAGTTCGAATCCCGGTCGGACAAAGTATTTATAAAGCCTACAAATAATCTTTCCACTTCCACGTCTGGATGCTTGTCCTTGTGAAATTTATGTAGGTATGTAAACTGCCTCCACTATACAGCTTAAACGTCTAGTGATTTTCTCCTGTATCGTGGATTAAAAATTAAAAAGTGTTAACGTAAAAATATGCAATTTTATGTTCTAAAAATGTGAGACAAGGGTATAGGACATAGATAGAGGTCACAAACAGGCTGTGATTTACTCCAATCATCCTCCGGGGTGACATCACGTCTGTAGCCTTCTTTGAGCGAAGTTAGTCATGGGCTGCCATCAAACGAACTCTAAGTACGTCCGTCTTCCCAGAATTACTTGTGATCTATACTGAATATTTGTTTAATATTCTATTCTATTCTGTCACTTTAATTTTATAAAATAAAACCTTTTACGACAAAATTTTTAAATTGCAGGTTAAATTTCAATTTTGAATTTGACGCTATTAATAAAACAAACATGTTCCGCCGAAGCAAAATACATTTCCATGAAACTCAAAAAAAAGTTTTAATTCGAAATTTAATTTAAATTTTCAACTCTGACCACAAATAGTCGCGTTATATCCGCCATATCCGCCACAGTCGAGTGGTCGCGCACAAATAAACGCTTGATTTGATCCGCACCGCTTTGCGGATCGGCTACACGGGTGGTGGGGCGGGAGTGAGGGGAGTCGGAAAAAGTCAAATGAATGGATTCAACGGATTGCGGCTGATTTAACACCGATAGAGGTTAATGAAGCGAAAGTTGGTCGGTAATCAGAATTAAAAACTTGCGTTCGAGAGCGTAACGTATTCGTGTCATTTATCACTGATGTCAATGATTCATTTGTAATGGATATAAACGCATCCAGTACAACATTTAGAATACGTTTTAGTAATAATAAATTTTGCTTTCCACCGATATTTACAATTGTTCCCTTCTAAAGATAGTTTATTTAGAATTTACTATGTCGGTAACCTTTAGCAAAAAACTTACCGTGTAATTTCATCTATTATATTATTAGATTTGAGTCATCCACTGTTACAGATACGTCTCTACTTATAGTAGAGAGAATTTGCTGAAATCGCGACGTTATAGAGAGTATCCTTTAGACTGCCATCGGATTATAAGAGTGAGGGGACAGGAAGTGTATACACTCTGAATCATAAGTCTATCCCGCGCTGACGGTTAGTCGCAGACTGACGGCCAGTACCGAAAATTCGGTCTAGAGATCATTATCCTGCATTGCGGGGGCCAAAATCCCTTTTATCGAACCTGTGTGAATTAGTCTAACTAATAAATACATTTTCTCAGACATTTTAAACAAATCATTTTACAAAGCATAGATAAAGATTTTTAAATTGTTGTTTCTAAGATCGATTTCCATCGCAAGGCAATGTCTGTATATCATATTGAATGTCAACTTTGCATTTGGTTTCATTAAATTTTTGATGCTGTAAGTATATTTTAATATGATGTTTAGTTAAGAAGAGCTTGGTCCGTGAGATCCACGTGCGGTGATGTTTAAAGAAATTGTAGCCGCTGGCTCGTGATAACAGGGCTGGATATTTTATCGCTCAAACGCAGGCAGAGTGCTGGACATTATACCGGAAGGAATCGGACAGTATGATGATTGAATTTTTTTATATTAGTTTTTTTAGTTATGCGGTAAATTTTAATGTTAATAAATAATAAAGGTTCTTGTTTATACTTATAATTAGATTATTTTTATGTAATTAAAAAATATGTACCGAAACATTTTCGTAATATTTCTTATATTACAGGATGCACTTCTGGCAACAGAGGTGTTGCACTCACTTATTCAAATTTGAATAAAACGTATACCTATTTTATGCAAGAATAGCCGACTGGAGACTTCAATGGATTCTTTGTCATCTTTATGCAGGGTTATTTTGCAATATATGCCCTAATTTTTAGAGAAGGTTCAGAATAAGTAATATAGGCGAATAGGTAAAAAAACAATGAAAATATTAAACGTTATATCATTTTTATTGGTTAAATTTAAAATGCGTGATAATGCGTTATTTTAAATGATTGTGATTCATAAATATCTCATAGGTATTATCACTTTTATAAGGGTCACTTTAGACATTGACATGAGTCAAATACAAATAATCTTGCATGAACAAGTAGGTGTAGAACAGTTGTTTTCCCGATGGATACCGGATTCGCTCTGTGAAGAGCAAAAAGCGGCTCGCGTTACTAGGTGCGTCAGAACTCTCGAAAGATTCCACGCAGGATCCTCAAATGCTGTATACAACATCGTATCAGGTGACGAATCCTGGATATACGCCTACGAACCAGAAACAAAAAACCAGTCACGAGTTTGGGTGTTCAAAAATGAGTTAAAGCCAACAAAAATCGTTCGTTCACGGAGTGTTGCAAAAAAAATGGTGGCCACGTTTGTCTCCAAAACCGGCCATGTTACGACTATTCCTCTTGAGGGACAAAGAATGGTTAACACAGAATGGTATGCTAGTATTTACTTGCCACAGGTCGTTTCTGAACTCCGTAAAGAGAACTGCAACCGCCGCATCATCCTCCATCACGACAATGCCAGTTCTCACACCACACACAGAACAAAAGAGATTTTAGAGCAGGAAAACATAGAATTATTAGACCATCCGCCGCACAGCCCCGACCTAAGCCCTAATGATTTCTATACTTTACTTAAAATAAAGTATAAATTGCGTGGACAGAGATTTTCATCACCTGAAGAAGCTGTGGACGCCTACAAAACGGCCATTTTGGAGACTCCAACTTCCGAATGGAATGGTTCCTTCAATGATTGATTCCATCGTATGGAAAAATGTGTCAAATTTCGCGGGGAATAACTTCGAAAAGCAATAAATACATTTTTATTGCTTTTCGATATTTATAAGTAATGTTGTGTCACTTCCTTGATTCTCGAAATTTTCAGTGCCGCCCTCGTAAATATAAATTTTAAAATTAAACATAAATTTTAAAGTAGGTATGATATCAATTGCCTCTTTGGATAAAACACTCAGAACATTTCCAGTTTTGGAAAATAGTTAAATCAATTGCTCATGCTGTCATCGTGATCTCAGTTACCGCACAAACAACTGTGGAAATGGCAGATTACTGGTTTAGCGGTTTTGCAAATGTCTACAATCGTCATCACTCATGCATTCGACTGAAAATTAAAAAACCTGTTAATATATTAATTATTTTACCCCCTTATTCATAAAAATTTAAACGCTTGATTAGTTTAATTAAAGTAAAGTAAAGTAGTGTTCTGTCTCATTTTGATATTTGCGACACACTTGTTGCTAGAAAGTGACGCATAAAATTTTAACTGAATAATGTGTAAAATGTATATAAATAAGGGGGTTATTGTTATTGGAGGTGAGCTACCACCCTCTAACCTATCTCTAGTGCCTGATATCAGTGCTTGCACTGCTGTGCTCTGTTCTGAAGGGTACAGAAAGCCAGTTGTAGGTGGCAATACATTGGTAGCCTTTTTGTTTAAAGGTAGACACAGGTGTCCATTGACTGCACAAGTGACAAACGAGCACACAGTCAATTTTATGGTAAGTGGATGCTGTAGCACATATACATCTACATGTATCCTCGATTAAGAATCAAATTCAGATACGTTGGCACCCCTGAGGACTAAGATGGAATGCCTCATTTTTAGCACAAAATGTCTATGGATCTCTACACTTACCATATTAAACACATATTTTACGCTGGCTGTGAAAGCGTAGTCCTATCCCAGTTAATCCATTCATGCTACAACCATGACAAAGATGCAGCGTGGCTCTACAATGTAAAAGTAAGAGACGACAGGGCGAAATTGAAACAGGAGTTTGGCAACAGTATCTCCCAGTTCTGATCACAACTCAAAATAACAAACCGTGGCAGCTATGGAGTTTATTCTCAATCAATAATCAAAATGGAATGCTCGTTACAAGTTTCAAACTTTGAGTTAATACTAAAAGTCAACTTCAAAGAACTAAAAAGAATAAAGCTAATTTACACATAGCTTCAGAATCTGGTGCTAAGACAAAGTGTGAAGAAGAATTGAAGCTTTGACTTCAGAAGCTGACATGTGAATATAAATTTATTATTTTTAGTTTCTTGAACCTTTTCAAAGAACGAAAAAATATCCCAAGCTTGAGTTTATTATACTCGTAAGTATATTATATTACATTAAAATTTTTATTACCTATTACCTCACTCTTAAAATTGGAATTTTTTCTCCAAATTATTATGGAATTACCCCTTGACTGTAAGCTATTTATTACAAAAATAGTAATGAAAATCGGTTTAGAACTGACAAAAATATTGCCGAACATGCACAGAAGAATGAAAATACATTCGAATTAAAAACATCTTCCTATTTTATAGTCAGCTAGTGAAATAGGAACTAAATCTAATAATAAAAACGAAACAATTTACCATGTTTACCGGTAAGTATATTCACAAAAACACCTAAGCCTTCATCACCAAGAAGCGGTTATTTTTTATTAGTTGACGAGAGGACTGGTATAATAAATAAGATGATAAGAGGTCCCCAAAAGTTAGGAATCCAAGGAAACATTTTTCAAGCAGTCGTTAAAAAAGCAATATAATATATAAAACATTTATTTAACAAACTATAGAGATTGTAACATGCTTGTAAAATAATTGCTTTAAAAATACATAGTAATTTTAAATTATAAAAGCGGATGCCTCTTTAGATAAAATATACAGAAACAATCACATTCATTTAAAAGATATTTCGCTGGCTAAGGTTTTCAGATATCAAAGCTACCGCACCAACATTGTCTGGAATAGCAGAGTGCTGCTTTAGCGCGTGGGGAAAGTAATCTGCAAGTGTCTGCACAATCGTCACTAGTAATGCATTCGACTGAAAATTAAAAAAAAAACTAAATATATTAATTCTTTGTATGTTGATGAACTTCTTTTTTCCTAGGTGTCCGTCTGGGTATACTAACGGTCGTATTGTTTCGGATTTGTTTACAAACACAAGCTGCTCGCCCTCGTATGATATCCAGATCGGTCGAGCGACTGATCCGAGTCTGTATCCGAGTTGTCACTGTCACCGCGCTATACTATGTATCTTACATCTTATCTTTATCCAGCGCCTAATATCAGTGTTTGCATAGCTGTTTTCTTGTCTGAAGGGTACAGAATGCCAGTTGTAGGTGGCAACGCATTGATAGAATTCTTTGTTTGAAGTTAAGCGCAGGGGTCGTTGGACTGCAGTATCCATTTACCATCGGGTGGACTGTGAATTCGCTTGTCACTTACACAAAAAAATATTAATACTTATGGAGTATTATCGACGTACGAGAACCCACTACCCATCTTATCCTGAGGGTGACGTAAGATGTGGAAGGGAGAAACAGAAAAAGAAGATCGGCAACGCCATCCTTCGTCATGATCACATGATCACAACACCCCAGAGGCCAAGATGGAATGTCTCATTACAAATAAAACTTAATAAGTTTATATAAATAGTAAAAGCCAACTTCATATGACTAATAATAATAAAATAATTTACACTTAAAAGCTTCAGAAGCAGGTGCTAAGACATAGTGTAGAGAAGAATTAAAACCTCGACTTCAGAAGCTGATACGTGAATATTATTTTATTAGTTTTAATTTCTTGAACCTTTTGAGTGTACGAAGGAATATCACAAGCTTCGTTAGTTACCTATTAGTAAGTTGTCTAAACAGTTACTTTAAAAAATTAATTTCCCATTACCCCACACTTAGGGATAATTTTAAAACATTTCGGGAAATTTTCACCAAATTTTTATGGGAATACCCCTTGCGTATAAGTTATTTGTTAGAAAAATAATCATTTAATTCGGTTTAGATGGGACATAAATATTTCCTTATACACATCCTAAACAGAACATACAGTCATTAAAAACATCCCCTTTTTTTAAAGACGGCTAATAAATTCAGATAAATAATAAAATCAGGTGTTAATTTGCGGAAATCCATTATAAAAACGATATTAATAGTTGCTTTGCAGCCATACGCTCCATAAAATAAAATGATGTGTCTTACCTAATTTGAAGAGCAACTTCCGCCCTCCCTCAATTACGTGCACTAATCCCGTTACCACTAATCCCAGCACCACTACTCCCAAATTGAGAGATGAAATAAATTAATAATTAAATCTAATAATAAAAATGAAACAATTTACCTTGGTTACTCATCTGTCTATTTATAATAACATTTGGACCGATATCTTCGTCACCAAGAACTGTCTTATGAGATAAAGAATATGCGTTTGCTGCCACAAACACAACGAGCAATACGAAGATTATTTTCATGGTAACTTGCTCTGGTCAGTAGAGACATACAAATGTAAAGTGAACCACATGTATTTATAAGACTACGTCTGTTTTATAACGACTTAGCATTGCAAATTAATTAGGGAAGCTGTAAGATTAACACGTTTTGCGAAATGGTGTGAACGTTAGGTACATGAGTATGTAGGCTGAAAATTTTAAGACTTAGGCCTCGATTACAAAAAAATTAAACCATTCATATGTTTTTAACTTTCACAGAAATGTTGATACTTGAAGACATAAATAATATTTCAAGATTAATTTAGATTAACCTGGAAATTTAAGGAAAAGTTTAAGTATTGTAAATTTAACAAATATAATAGCCTCACTGCCTGGGTTCACGTTCTTCTTTTTGTATATAGAATAGGATCGACAAACGAGCACACAGTCCACCTAATGGTAAGTGGATGCTGAGGTCCATATATATATTTTCACTTATCCTCGATTAGGAATCAAAATGCACATGCTTTGTCATCCCTGAGGACTAAGATGAAATGCGTCGTTTTCAATAAAAAGGGTCTTCTGTTCTCTATACGATACATAGCAGCACTAAGTTGCTATTTACGCTGGTATTCCATAAAAGCGGGGTCCCACGTCACAACCTGCAGCGTGGCTCTATCACTTAAAACTTTTGCTGGCTAATGCTCGTAAATAAGATGAGAATACGAAATTGATGAAAACAAAATAGTTGGCTCTTAGTAAGTGTAGTTTGGGAAATCGGCTTTAGAGTATTGATTAATGCGATGATACACATGCTGTGGGTTTAATGAGCTACGCTTTTTACTGCACATGCTAGATGAAATGTTTTCTAATTAACTAACTCTACGGTGACTTTCAGCGTAATTATGCTTAGATTCTTAAGTCCTAGATGTGGATATCAGCCGCGGATTTATTGCTTTACAAAATCATTAGTAATTTTTTATGTGAAAACTTAACCGTGTAGTATCAGTATGAGAATATCCACTATAACACATCGTCCAGTGGGTGTCGTACGAGGTGGCTGAGGGAAACCGGAACAGCAAATCAGTGGCAGCAGTTCATCACAAATATGCAAATCGTGCTTTCAGCCTATTTCAGCAGTGGACTTAAGGGCTGTAATGATGATGAATGATGAGTATCCATCGGTCAAACATTGCAACTATATATACCAAAATCCATCTATGTAGCAATATATGGAGGAGTTCCACGTTCACTTTTAGTTAAAGATTCTAATAGATGGATGTATGATATCATCATTTAGTGAATGTGCGTTTGATAATATTTTCCTTTTTTTGGATTAAAATATTAAGTTCTTCGGTAAAACCCTTTCGGGCACTGCGGCGGATATTACCTTACCCTAAAACCCTCTCAGAAATGTGAGAAGGCCTGTGCATAGCAGTGAGACGTACATATAATTTGTAACATTAAGTTTTAAATTTATACAATATCATTTACTTATTTTTTATTTTGTTTATATATTTAGAAAATGAGGCATAATTTTTTTTAGAAGAGGGTCGTAAGTGCAATCTATGATTTAAAACCTAAAGAGTCACTCATACAAAAGTTTCAAAAAATTAATATATTATTTACTTTGGCCTCTCAATACATTTACGAAAATGTGTATAAATATACGCGAAAATAAAAGTAATTTTAACAAAATAAGTATATATACTAGGAACATACACATACTAGTAGTGCCAGTTACTTGAATCCACTCTGTCAGTGATTCTTTCTTGAGGCGATGTATACACCTTTATAACACAATCTCAAAGAATATACAAAATTTGCCTCCTCAAGGTTTAAAAACTTAAAAAAGTTTGTATATAAAGGATTATTAAAATACTAAGAAATTTATGCATGATAATAACCCCTGGGAAATAAGTGATCGCTACAAAGCTATTTCTAATTTGTTGTGTGATGTTGTGTAACATATATCTATATATATTCTTCTTATTGTATATCTATATTGCTTGTTCTTCCTAGGTACGAAGTCTTTTTTTGAACCAGTGTTAAATTAAAGAAAAGAATGACCTACAATAAGTATGGTTTATAATCTTTATTGAATAAAATAGTTTCTGTTTCGGATTGTTTCCCATTCCCCCAACCCTCGGTCGTTTGGTTTCCCCTCTAAAGAACTTCCGCCTAGTCGGGTTTTAACGTTTTATTTTATTACATTTATTCTATTAAGTATGTAATTAATTTCATTGCCTTATTAAAAGGCCGCCAATGTACCTGCGATTCCTGTGGTGTTGCAGTTGTTCATGGGCGGCAGTCGATACTTACCATCAGGTGAGCTGCATGCTCGTTGGTCCCCACTTCTATAAAACATATATTTTATAAGTATGCATAATCCCAACTAGATGAGAAAACAGTAGAATTATCCCCATACTAACAATGAGAGACTATTATCAATAATTATTTTTGACTATGGTTAGTGGTCTCAAGGTTAGCTATGAGGTTCCGGATTCGAATTCCGGGCTTGGCCAAATTCAGTTATTAATTCTCATAAGCAGCTCGAAGTCGATTTCATCCCGCCTGCGCGTGATCTCTCTCCGGTCGTGTCGGTTTACCGTCCCATCGGACTATGAGAGTGAGGGAATACAGAGTGCACCTGTGCTTGCACACACTGGTGCGTTATAATCCTGTCCTGCACAAATGGCTCGTCTCCGTTGAGAAAGGCCTCCGTGACAGATTCTTTTAATTATTATTATTTAGCAGGTCAGAGTTGTAATGTCTGATATAAGCCTTTACCTGGTTTCAAATCTGTAGTCGTTTGTCCAATCATTTAATGTTTCTGCTGTTTGTTCTGTGCTTCAACTACTATTTGGCAAAAAGAGTGTTTTTCTCCGTACTCTAAGAAGGAAGTAGAATAATTATTTGTCGAAATTTCCTTGATCATGGTGTCCATGTCTTATTTTATATGTTTGTACTATCGACGGTTGTGTGTCTTTCCTAGTGTAGTTGTGTTGGGAGTTGTGTCGGGGATTGGGCACGCATTTGAGGTAGGGCGGAAGGTGTGTTTCTATGTAAGACACACATTTAATTTCATTACGCACATATAAGCAATTCAATTTTTAACATTTTTCATATTTTGTATGTTTCAATCAAAATTTCTCGCTTTGTTGTAGTTTAAGTACTTTCAGCATTCCCTCTTAAGATTTTGCTTTCCAATGCTCTAAAAACTTTCGGATGAATTTGCGTTGAGCTTTTCCTAGTAACTCAACACCTTTTTTGAAATAGACACTCTAAATTTGGCATGTATATTCCAAAATAGGTCAAAAATAAGTTTTATACATTTTAAGCCTAATTATATTTTTTTTATTTAAATTTGATATTAAGAATATTGTTATTATTATAAATGAAATTTTAATTTGACACACACATCATGTAATGCTAATGCGTGGTATCATATTAGATAATTATAAATTAGGCCCATATGCACCTTGTTGATAATTAAGATACCCGCAGTTGGACCCTTTTGAATCGCCGCCCAATTAAGCAGACCACCTAAACATTTACCGATGGGTTACGTAACGGCTTGGGACACCTTTTGTCGAACAAATTAAATGATATTTTAGCACTTAATTATTAATTTGAACGTATCAGATGATTTAATAATCCAACAACGATGGCTCTGGGAACGGCATCAATATTGTGAAATGTTGGGTACTGCTGAATAGTACTATTATAATATATTCTGTGATAATGTAATTATCAAACTGCCTAACAAACGTTGTTGACAGCTGATAGTTACAGCCTATATACGTTCCATTGCTAGGCATTCTGAGAGAGCTTTCATCATCACAATTACAGCCCTTCACAAGTCCACTGCTGAACATAGGCCTCATTTAGAGAAAGAAAATGTTGGAGAGAGCTTTAGAGAAAAGAAATGTTCGCCGCGCTGCCTCAGTGTGTATGCGAACTTTACACGTCTTCGAAATATTTTTGTTTCTTATTTATTAAACATGCAGTTTTCCTCACGATGTTTTCCTTCACCGCCGAGCACGTGGTAAATCAGTACTTAAAATTGCAATTAAGAATTTCATTGGCGCCAGCGGGGATCGAACATAGGTTGCTCGCGTGCTGTGAAATATACAGCGAGTGCTCAGCCCCTGAGCTGCCATGGCTCCCTGCTCGAAGAATTGTATTTTCCATAGTATTCGATTACGTGATCGTGTCGACCCGGCACAACCCATGGTACTTACCACGGTACTTAGCCCGTGGTTGTCTTAAAAGGCAATGGAAGCAAACCAGGATATGGTACACGGTAATAGTGGGGGTGTAAGAATATTCTTTAGTAATATCCCTTAGTACACGCAAAATAGTCAAATTTACTTTTAAAAAGAAGTCGATGTGTGGAAATCATTTTTGTTAGTTCTTTGTAGTCGGCTTTTATATTTTATTAAAAAAATGTTTTTAATAGCTTTTAATTTTTCAACATTGTGCATTGCTGCGATATTTTAGAAAAACCTTGAATTTTTTGGGAAGCGAATTGTTTCTTTTTTTCCACCTGATGTTAGTTGCTGCAGCAGTCCCATAAACACCTGCAGCAACTTACAACAAAGTAGGGTACAAAAGAGTTGTCACCTCTCACGGCCAATTTACCTGCCTGTAATTATACTGAATCTCTATATCCTTCATGACCGGGTTATAGAAGTGGAAGCACTGGTACTTGGCGGCAGAAATAGCTAAGAGGGTAGTTCTTATCTACCCAGACGGAATCACATGAAGAAAGTGTCCCTTACACCCTTACACGTGGTGGAGCCACGCTGCAGCTATATTATGGTTGTAGCACGAATGGGTTGGCTCGACCGGGGAAGGACCACGCCCTGACAGAAAACAAGCGTTAAGTAGCAGCTTAATACTATAATAAGCTTAATACTGCTGTGTTTTGGATGGTAAGTGTAGAGATCCGGACATCCTTTTTTACTGGAAACGAGGCATTCCATCTTTGTCCTTACGTGTGACAACGCATCTGCGTTTTGATTCTTAATAGAGGATAA